GTGTATCGTAATTAAGCATATCAGATTTATCTGATGCAAAGTTTAAGCATATGACTTTGTCATGTTAGCAATGGAAATAAAAGCACTGTGAGAACATGAAAATTATTTCTCATTTATTACTCAATATATATCAAAACTTTTCTCATTTATTTATAAAAATGTATAGCTAATCCCCTCATATACTGATTATATCAGAAAAAGAGACTAGAAGGTACTTAGGTCTCTCAATTTGCACAAAAGTATTTTAATCTAATCTGTTAGGTGTAACCCAAGGAATGATCAGTTTGAGGAAGATTTTAGGATTCAAATAAATATTCTGGATAATGGCTGAAGTAATTTCTCTTCTTAAAGCTTAGTGTAGACCAGTCACTGAAGGTACTCAACCCTGATGATGTGCTATAATCACTGATAAATCAATGCATAGATAATGCCAGGCATTCAGGATTACTCTGAATTTTCCTCCATGTTTTTCTAATATCATTTGAAGAGGTAGAATATATATAGAAAAACTTATTAGCACTAAAAATTGTGTTTCCCCTGCAAATCTAGTTATCTCTGTGTAAGAACCCACCATTTATTATATGCCTATAAATTTTGTGTAAACTAATGTCTCCTTCCACCAGAATTTACAGATTAATGAACAGGCCTGATTTGTTTTGCACTGAGGTGATCTTTAAATCATTGTTTCCCCTGTGGAACATTTTAGGCTTATTAAAAGTAGCTGATCATATTTATTTGAATCAAACCTATTTATAAAATATTGAAGCATACAATATTTTTTCTGTATATGGCAATATTTTACCATTTATCTTAATTATTTTGTCAACCAGAATTTTTGAAAGACTAAATATGAAACTGTCACTTGTTCACTGAATAATGTCACTTCTAATAAGAATCCATTTTGTTTTAGAGATTTAAATTCTGTGAGTTGGTATTTTTAGCACAATACCTAGCAGCAAAACAATTTTGAAATGTTATGAAATAATATGAAGTTGATGAAATTTTGTCATTCTATTATGAATGTGAGAATGGTTTTATAACCTTGATAGCCCAAGGATACAGAGTTAGAAAAGTTAATATATATTTTTTGGTCCATAGTAAGTAGAAATTTATCTTTAAATATTTATTCAGTATTACATTTTATTTTCCTACTGTTTTTCTGTACATAAAGTCTTCATATAGATAGATAAGTTTGGTATTGATTATATTAGTTATTTTGCCTTTCAAATCATGTCTTTATCTAGGAAATATTTTCCTTATTCAGAAGTATCTTTTAATGTATGTATTTTCTTATTTCTAGTTAGTCTCAATTATAGAAAATTGTTTCATGAATAACATTGCTTGGTATTTTAAGAAAATTATTTTTGACATAAAACTTATAAATGTAAATGTAAATATTCCTGATGCTTGCTATAGAATTAATGCTTTTTTGTCCCCTATGAAGTAAGAGTAGGTCATCTGACACAAATAAATCCATGCATTTTATTTAGTTTATACTAAGTGCTATATGTAATATTAAATTTGTAATTTATTAATGGATGTGAACTAGTACAAAAAATTGTGTGAAGTATTCCAGTGGAAGCTATTTTCATTGATACACTTAGGAAAAATTATAGCAGACAAGATTATTTAATGATATTAATATTTATTCTATTTACTTATTTGAAGAAGCAAAAGAAAAGAAAATTCTAAAAAATTAAATGATGCATTGTTTTTATGATAAATTATTTCAGAGTCACAATTTCCATTTATTGGATGCATTTGGAATATATTGATACAGAAATTAGTGGTAAATCACAGCTGAAAAGTGCAAACACATAGGATTAAAATGCTCATCAGTATTTTTACTTATCTTTTTCTTGGGTGGATGAGAGAGTTATACTAAGCAGTTCTCAGGGAATTCTCCTGGTTTAGTACTTGGTGGTTGCATTAAATAATGCTTTGGGGACCATGTGATGCTAGGGATCAAACCTGAGGTTCTCTTAAGAAAATTCTGTGCCTGAGAACCAGTTTTCACTTGTGAGACACAATTAAAGCTAAAGTAAGAAAGAAAAAAACCTCATTTTCTCCTTAAACAAACGTCTTATTGAATTTTATTATTTTATTGTTTTTTCAGATACAGCACACATTTCATTTTTTTGTTACTTAATATATATTTATGTATATAATTATCGGGGGAGAGAGAAATATTTCAGTTACAAATATTTAGTACTTTATCTTACTAAAAAATCCAAAAGTTATCCAAACTTTTAGTTTAATATTAGTTTGTTATTCCAAAACATATTACAATAACATATCATTTCAAAAATATAATACAAAAGCCTATTATTTCAAAATATATTACAAAAATTCCAAAACATAAGAATTATAAGTCAACATTGAAAATGTTTTTTTTACTATTTAAGACTTAAACATTTATGAGAGAGTACTGCAGTGCTGATCGGCAGGAGTGTATACATATTTTGCATATCTCATGAGGCACAGTATTCATGGAGCACTGAAAAAAATAAAGATTGGAGGCCAGAGAGTGTACGTGTACCTTTGAATTCTTTTGATATTCCATTTATTTAGAACTATTTAGTTGTTTATATCAATAAAATATTAATAGAATGTGACGCAAAGGTAAAAAGATTTTTTTGATCAACCAATTCCATATTTTTCTTTTGGATACTGTAAAAACGAAGGAAAAGAGAGAGAAAAAAGAATCAATGAATAATAACATCAGCTGTGATATAAGTTTGTCCCTATAGAGGTTAATTATTTTTTCCAAAGGAAAGAAGAATAAAGATAAAGAATAAAGAAATAAAGATAAAAATTAATATTATAATGTATCCCTATATATTGATTTTCCAAACTGACAGCAGGTGGGAAAGTACCTACTGGTTTTATATGAATTGGAATAGGCAATACTTTGATTAAACATATTTTACTATCTTCCGTAACATGTGGTATTCTAAAACATTGCATGTGTTGTTTAATTTTAGGGCTATTCTGTTATCTTTTACATATTTTGTATGTTTTTGTATTCTTTGTGAAGCCTTGAACTCTAATTGATGCATTCATCAAAAATATAAATTTTATTAAGGAAAATCTTATAGCAATAAAAAATAATAAGCGATTCAGTTAGATGTTCATATTCTGATTATTTTCTCAACAAACATTTGATACAAGTAAGGTACAGTTTCATTTGAAAGCAACACTTAGTGATTCATGTTGAATTTATCATGGATTACATTCTAAATTATGGACAAAATTCACTATCACTTGAAGCATAATTTTCCAAAAAGGTATAAAATTGCAAGAATAAAGAGAAAGGAGTCTAAAAAGGGACAATGGAAAAGAAGCACAAGATATATTCTTTGTGTTCAGTTCAAAAAAATCTACACAGAAGAATTTTTGTAGATTCAAATCAGCTATTGGCAGAAAGTAATTTAAAATTCTGGTTTGTGCTTTTGTTCCCTCAGGGATTAGATTTTGCACATAATGCCTTAGTTCAATTTTTTTAAAGTTACTTTTTCTTTTAACTTCTTGTGGATTTAATTCACAAATCAAAATCACAAATCATCCTGTTATTCGTCAATTGCCTCAGGCCCCAGTAACGTCTCTTTCATCCTAGCCCTGAGATTATGTTCAAGGCTCTTTAGGAGAATGAGACCCATCATTGTTACTGGTATTAGGCATATTGGGTACGCCACGGGGAGTTTGCCAGACTCTGCCCTGTGGGCAGGCTACATTCGGTAGCCTGTCAGTTTGTCCAAAGTAGGAGTGAGATAATAAGATGTCAAAATAAGATGTCGCGTGGCCACATTGGCAGCCGTGTGGTTCCGGGATCTGGGTGGAGGATGCTCGACCCCAATCCCAGTAGGCTTGGAGATCTCGGCCCCGGAACCCGCATGGCTTTGTCCCCCTGCCAGTACCTTCATGTGTGCAGAGAGTGGTCTCAGCATGGTTGTGGCTAGTCCTGTAGATCTTCGGCTGCCGGAGCCCTGGTCGGGGCGGGGAGGAAAGCTCAACCCGATCCCCTCCAAGGGGCCCTGGTGAGGACAGCCAGGCGCGGGGGCAGGAGACTACACTCTTCTCTTCCAGGAGCTGGTTTTTATAATCTCTGAGTCTTGGCCGTTGATGGGAGTACACGGCGCCAGGGGGCCAGTTGGGTGTGACCCCCGCCTACTGGAATTTGGAGGATCTGGGTGGAGGATGCTCCACTCCAATCTGAGTAGGCTTGGAGATCTCGGCCTCGGAACCCGGGTGGATTTGTCCCTCTGCCAGTACCTTCACATGAAGGTGGATTTCATTAGATGCTATAAAATAGTTGTTGGGTTCGATTCCTCCACACCTCTCAGAGAGCCCAGCAAGCTACCGAGAGTATTCTGCCTGCACGGCAAAGCCTGACATGTTACTCATGACGTTTTTGATATGTCAAAAACAGTAACAAGAAGTCTCACAATGGAGACGTTGCTTGTGCCTGCTCGAGCAAATCAATGAACAATGGGAAGACAGTGACAGATTTTTCATTTGGTTTATTTTCAAAGATGCTTAAACTATAACTAGAATGCCTTAAAATAGATATGCGAATATTTATGATAGCTTATATGATCAAATTTGTGAAATATTATTTTTAAAGTTCCAGTATACATAGCATGTTTATGTCCAATGTAAGAAATTAGGTTTACTTTATAATCATCTTTCATAAAAAGAAAGAAAATTTGTATCTAAATGTTTATAGACAAGCTCTTTAGATAAAATTTCTAGACAAGTTTTCAAAGATTTCTAGATAAGAAGAAAATAGATCTGGTATAGTAAAATTACATAAGTAATATTGAGCTAATAATATTGTTTATTCTTTGCACTTATAACCCAAGCATTAAAATCCATTTATTTGTTTGTATGTACAGTTCATTTATATTAGTTCTGCCTACATTCTAGTAGAGATAATCAATTTTACTTCTAATCTTATTTGTACATTTTCATAAATCACTAACAGTGTTGAATTTTTACAGATATTGGCTGATCTAGAAAATCACACATTATTTAAGAATGATCTGGAATGCCAAAAGCTGATTCTAGAAGCAATGAAGTATCATCTATTACCAGAAAGAAGAACCTTAATGCAGAGTCCAAGAACTAAGCCTAGAAAATCTACAGTTGGAACTCTGTATGCTGTAGGTGGAATGGATAACAACAAAGGTATATAGTTTTATGATTACATAAAGAACATAGGGACCATACTAAGACTTTATTTTGATGTTTTGATATCATATAATCTTAATTTTATCTACTACAATTTAAAAGAATGACTAGAAGTATTTTATTTATATTTGGTCTGAAGTTGTGGATTCCTCTTACTATTGACCTCAGAATCTATTTAACATATATATATGTATATATAACATACATGATTTATGTATTTAGGTCACACCCAACAATGCTCAGGGTTTACTTCTGTCTCAGGATTATCCCCAGTGTGTCAGGGTACAATATGGTATTTCCAGAGATCAAAGCTAGGTCAGCCTCATGCAAGACTACCTACTACACTATTTATCCAGCTACCATTATGTGCATAATTAATATGAAATAAAATGCAGATTTAAGTCTCTTAAATATTTAGTTTTTGATATATCAAGAGCTGTGTTTTAAATATAAAAAATATAAGTAACATGCTTGCTTAGAATAGATTTTACTTTTCAGTTTACAATCTCATTAAACTGATAGACAATAAAAATCACTGCAATAACTAGTAGTCAAAATGTTAAAAACTTAATTGTGTTTAACACTTTTTTCCTTTTTAAAAAAAGAGTGATGGGTTGTTTGCAAACTGCAAAGAGTGTTCAGAGAAATATTATAGGGTTAAGATGCTTGCCTTGCCTGCTGTCAACCCTATTTCAATTCCAAACACAATATATGCTCACCCAAGCACTACAAGTAGTAGACTCAAAGCACAGAACTAGAAATTAGCCCTGAGCACAGCTGGGTGTGGTCCCCAAACTCAAAAGTACCAGACAAGCAGTATGCATACATACATTTGAAATTCTTATTTTTACATTTTGTTTTCAGTAGAAAAATCATTTCTTAATCATTTCTAGTATTGACCTTACTTTTTAAATACAAGAAATAAGACAAATATGAAAATTTCCAAAGATGTATGCCCAATAAGTAATATAATAAATTGCCAAAGACATATGCCTGTTAATTAATATAATATTTAGTGTATGTTTAAATTATCTGGTGACAATAGAATGTGATCATATATTTAAGCCCTATTAAAGGAATCTTGTTATTTAAGAAAAAGAATCAGTAAACCTTATTTGATTACTAGAAAATGAGAGCCTGAAAATCACAACAAAAGAAAATCAATTTATGCAATCAACAGGGAGCAGCACATATTCTCATTTTTGTTTGCCAAGCAAATATTCTGGGGCTATTGGATCATTTTTGTTACTTTAATTTATTTGAAAAATGTGACTTCTGTTAACAGAGATATTGATTTCTAGTAATAAAAAGTAAATGAACACTAAAATAGTAACATAAAATGAATAGGTCTTCGTTTTAAAAGTAAATAACTTACTATTTTAAGAACTAGAAAATAGTGCTGGAGAAATAGTAGACTAGCTAAGGAACTTGACTTGGACACAACTGACCCTGCTTTAATCCCAATGCTAGTTTTCTCTAGCATTGCAATGAATAATTCTTTCAAAGAGCCAGGAGTAAGTCCTGAGCATTGTAGGGTGTAGCCTCAAAACAAAAATGAAAAACAACAAGAAGAAACTACAAAATGGTCTTTCTATCCCCTTTTCTATCATTCAATCACTATCTCCCTCTCTACATTACTTACTTAATTTATATATGTTATTTCTTAAGCAAACATAAAACTATATATGTATATACACTATATATTTGTATATAAACTATATATGTATATATATATATACACACACATATATAGTTGTAATATATATAAAGAGATAGTAGTGGTCTTTGTTTTAAAGAGGTTAAACAGAAAAGAAACCCCGCCCACCATGTTTTTGGTTCACATGGGCTGTGTTCAGGGGCTACTCATGGCTCTGTACTCAAGAATTACTCCTAATGAGGCTCAAGGGATCATACAGAGGATCAAACCCAGGTTGGCTGCATGCAAGGTTAGCGTCTTGACCACTACACTATCTGAAGTCCTTGAAACAGAAAATATCTTATATGGTTCAAAATGCAACCGAAATTACATTTCCTCAATTCAAATGCTGTAGTAGGAAAGTTGTTATTTTTTATTAAGATACGCTTATTGCTATTTGCTTATAATATATAACTCTTGTGTACTCTTGAGTCTATGGCATAGTCAACCTAGAGTTGTATAAACTAGGAAAAAAATTTGACTCATTGTATTGATTTTGAATGGAATCTCTTACAAGGAGTACCTATGTCCATGTTTTCCTTATGATAGCAATAAATGCTAAATAACCGCCAACAGAAACCTTTAGTGATGTTTTGGAGCAAAAGCAGAAAAAACAGTTATTTATCGTAAAATGAAATACATTGATTTTCAGTTACATTCAATAATTAGATTCATAATTAAGGTTTCAGATTTCATAAATGGGTAAGATTTTAAGGTCACATGAGAGGCAGACTGGTTTTCTTTTTGTTCTGTTTTTCCGAAAGCACAATTTTCAAAGAATGTCAATACAAGGTCAATTTCATTTGTTAATAGGAAAATGATGTTTTTAAATAAATGAAGAACATAATTGAATGAAACTAGTGTTTGAGTCAGGATTGTACAATCAACAAAAGAAAATTATTGCTACTTCCAAATTTCTAATATTATTAATAAACAATGGATACTGATAAAAAACTAAAAGACATAACTAATTTCAATTTTTAAATCTTGTGACTTGGAACGTATTGCTATAGTATAAAGTAATGTGAAAATAATTAAGTCTGTTGAGCAAAACCATTTTCCAGCATTCAAATTTCTCTAACTTAACTGTACGTTTTTAAGCTTAAATAAATTATTTAATAACTGAACTTTATTAGGGATTCTGAATCTCATTTTACAATTGAATATAACCAAAAATTTATTGTTACATCTGTCCAGGAAGTAGTCATAAAAATGTGAGGTTAAGAAGAAATTACAGGTAAAACAGTAAATCACTTGTAAATGACCAGTGAAACAGATATAAAACTTAGAACTATAAAACTGGACATTAAATATGCTCCGGAGACTTAGATAAAAATCTAGCAATGTCAAGCTTCAGGAGAACCCATTTTTTGGTAAAGAAAATTAAAGAAATCCAATGTTTTAAGGGATTTAAAGATCACTAGGACATTTTCAAGGTAATCTCTTTTATTTGTGTTGTGCTTTTATTGCTTAGAGGTTTTTTTTTTCCCTATACCTTATTAACTCTAACTTGTGCTATATATCTGTAAGTATTAAGATTTTATCTTAGAATTGTGTTCTTAAAAGTCTTTTTCTTAAAAGTTATTGAAGCAAAGGGAACAAAATGATTAAAAAAGAGAGAAATTCATAACGGCAGAACCTTAGAAATCACTTTATATAACTAAATTTTAGAGTTATGCAATGCAACGTATATTTCTCAGTGTTGGAATTTTCATAATTGTTCATGTAACAAATAGTGCATTTAATTCCTCTTAAACTCTAAATTACTGGAATTCAGGTGCATTCTCAGGAGACTGATAAACTACGGGTATGACTGTTGCAGATTTTTTGGAAATATTGTAAATTTTCATTGTCCTCATTTTCTCTTCATTACTAACTTCCATAGCTACATACACAGATATACACTGAATGTCCAGGTCACTTTAGTTTTTCTCAGATTATGCTTTGTTTCTGTAAAAATTGTGATTAAGTGAAATAGAATACGTAGAGAGATTAAACCAATGCTAGGCATTCTGGCATTCTTGTATGTTTGTAAACTGCTGCAGGTGGATAGGCAGGGAATTGTCCAACAAACTGAGTCCTTCAGGAAGTAATAAGCTGACCACCCATTGAGAGAACAGGCAGATAGCAGGGCGGGGGGACCCTGGGACAATGGTTAAGGGAAGGGTTCTGGGGGATTGTGTAGTGCTGAATTGTGTTACCAATGAAACCCAACCAATGACAGTATTTTAAACCACATTTATGTGTAAAATAAATATTTTACAAGAGAAAGAAAATAACACTAAGGTGTTATTTAAAGAAGTTGCCAAGTCACTGGTACAAGGGTTAATGATGAATGAATGAATGAATGAATGATGCAGAAACTGAAGCAGTACCATGAGAAGGGTGGATCTCTGGGTAGAAAAGGAGACAGTTGAAGAACTGAATGGCATGATTTAAAAAAGTAACCGAGGCTGCAATGATAGTACAGTTTGTAGGGCACTTTCCTCACACACTGCTAACCTAGGGTCAAACTTTAGCTTCTATATGGTCATCTGAGCACCACCATCTGAACACAGAGAAAGGAGTAAGCCCCAAACACTACTGGATGTGTTTGCAAAGGAAAACAACAAAAAATAATCTGTGTGCCTATAACAAATACACTCATAGTCACCATTGTGAGAATGATACTCTACCAAATTTCTCTATATGTTGATATACATCCTTAATTATATACCTACATTTTATGGATCAATTTACATATTTCCATTTGCCATTTATCTCTCTCTGACATTATCTATATCAGTATCTAAATATCTGTTAGGATTTTTGTTTTGTTTTGTTTTGTTTTATTTTTTATGAACGGCACACCTGGTGATGTGCGCCAGGCTTACTTCTTTCTGGCTTTGCATTCAGGACTTTACATGATATGGAGTGCCGGGTATCAAACCTGGGTTCACTTATGCAAGGCAAGCAACATACCTGTTGTACTAACAGCGCTCAGATTCCCCAGTTTAGATTTCTTTAAAAATGTCCCTACTATTGTTGCCTTTATTTATTATTTTCAAGAGTAAGTGTACATTTCACTAAATTATGAAAATGCATTGCCTCAAGTACAAATTCTTATTCACATGAAAATGTATCAGTTTGTGTTAAACTGTATTATGTAGCAATATGTTGACGCTCAATTCTCTTTTCTACGTATAATGCCATCACTAGAATATGCATGCATGAGAAGTTTTCCCATCTTGAATGTTTCCTCTCAAGAAAAACTAACTTATTGAACAGAAAGGTGAAACTTCTGTTGCATGAGTCATTTTCT